TTTTCGGATCGACTGCCCTGGATCCTCAAAAATCAGCTTCTGAGCCCGTTGAATGATGTCGGGCGTCCTGACAACGTGCTCCTTCGAGTGGGTTTTCCTCGCTGATGTTGCAAAACCTTCATTGAACTTCTCCGACTCATTGTACTTTGCGATGACATCATCACAGTCGATCTCGGGTACCCGAAGAACCGAATGATTTCTGTCGCCGAGCGCCCAGCGCGGACACTTTCGAAAATCGCGGCTCTTCGGTTATACTCCGCACTTGGTTTCAACATTGTGACTGTTTCGAGGTTATGATGGTTTAGTACATGCTTCAAGCTATTTGAACGCTAATCGCGACATCTATCAGTGGTATAGAACGGCGAGAATTTCAAATTGAATTTTGTCCTGTATTTTGGCGCCGCACCCTGTAACGCTCTTTTTAGCGTTTATTGTATGCTAAATATATAATAAAAACTAAAACTAAACTTGGCTCAAAACTTTTGCACGCCACTGTATAATTTTATTAAAGAAAAAAAGCGCAATTGCTATTTTCCAATATATCATATGGAAAGAATAAGTCGATAAAAAAATAGACCTTGTTGTACTATTTTTTTCTAGCTGTAATTATTTTCGCTATCTTTAACGAAATAGATGCTAAAATCGAATTATATGATGCACTTTGTATATTATATTGTATTGTCATATATTACAACCTATACTTTAAGTCTTATTAATTTATTTAGTTACTTTATTGATTTAATTATCTTCTTTTTTTGTATATAAAACTTTACATTAACTATACAATATTGGAGTAACCAGGTTAAAAACATTGTGAATGAAAATTTTTTAGGCACAGTGGAGTTGGCCACAGCAATATGGAAGATACCGAAATGATCGAGATAGGTTAACCATCACTGTTGACCTAGTAGATGCTTAATTTTAATCTAATTTAATTGCTGGGTATTTATAATAAATCTTTGTTGTGTCTCAGGGAAGGATTTTATAAGAAAGAAAATAGCGTTAGACCATGGATGCAATATCCATTATTACTTTATTGGATATCCAGCAGTTATATTTAGCTAATTTTTTTCTTTTTTTATGTTCTATATATTATATACAATAATATTAATTGTAATATTACACTTTAACGGTGACGCAGCATTTATCTGCAAGCGTTTAAAAAGATGGAATAGCTACAACTTAAATGAACAGATTGAAAGATAATCTGCAACGAAATATATTTTTTATTTCAATTACTTATAACATAAATTATTTCAACTCTGAGTAACAGACTTATTAAAAATAT